TTAGGTTATTGATTACCCTAAAGGGAGCTAGCAGGCCCACCACCTGGTTTTGCAAATAAAGTTTTATCAGAACATGACCCTGCTTAATTGTTTACATTTGGCTTACACCTGCTCTTGCCCAGCAATGGCAGGGCTGAGCAGTTATGACAGAAACCATATGGCACACAAAGCCTAAAATATTACCTGGCACTTAAACTAAAAAGTTTGCTGACCTCTTCCTTAAAATATCAACATGAATGCTCAATTATAAAAGCCAATTTCATTAAATTTAGTACAACAAAGTCAATTCAAATTGATGAAAATAAGGTAAATCCTAACCCCGTATTCTGAAGACAATATCTGGCGCTGATAGATTCAGGCTCCCCTCTGAGTGCAGTGGCATCACGCCTGGGAGGGAACATGCATCAAACCACCCAGGCTTCTACAATGCCATTTTAGCTACATGGAGCGGGATCTTCTGGGACCTGCTGAACCAGCCTTTACCAAACTGTGTTTTGCATGACTCTGGTGTTCCTTGAAAACTGAGTGTGCGTCAAATAGATATGGGAAGCCTAAGGTTTTTCGGGTTTCTTTTCTTTAGGAATTCTTAGTAATTTCTCGGGGGAACTTAATGTACTCATGAACATGAAGACTTTTTAGATTAAAAAAAAAAAACTAGTCTATAAACTGCTGAATGATATATATGCTCCTATTTCTAAATCCACAGTCTAGATAATAGCAGTTAGTATATATGGATTGTCTGGCTATAGAATTTGTTTTCTCATGTATTGAATATGAGTAATTAAAAGCAATCTTAATTCACTTTACTTCTCAACAGACATTCTTCTCAGCTCTTTTATCAGCGCCCTTTCATTCTGTAGAATTATAGCCCCTAGAAAGGATGATATTTCTTTGAACAAAACAGTGAATAGAAGAACAGTCTAGAGAAACTTCTCAAAGAGCCTAGAGATTAAAAAAAAGAAATGTTCAAATTTGTGAATATAGTTAGAATTTGTATCAGAACAATGAAAATCCTTCAAAGTGTTTTCAAGGTCTTCCAGCAAAGAAGATTCACATCTCAGTACAAATTTAAGTTAAATAAAATACTAGACTTGCAAATAGTTAAAGATATTTTTCGTAGAAAATTCACTTTAAAATATAACATTGGAATAATGGTTTGCCTTATTTTTGCTTACAGTTTATAATCTGACTTCTCTAATGCTTTCAGAAAGCATCTGGCATGTGTTTTCATTCAATTTTGTTTTGACTTCTAGCTACACTGCTGTCCGCCAAATCACAGCAAGGAGATGAACAGATTAACATATATGGCTACCCTCTATATGCCCAAAGCAAAACAAAACAAAAACAAAAAAACCTTTTATGAACTGAAAACCTTCAAAATGTAAAGTTGATGTATTTATGTATCTGTAGTAGGAAGGCTTATAGATTACTCTATGCCTAACATATGGTAGTCACTCAAATAATTTTTGAGTGACAACAGGGTAGCTTCCAAGTGGCTGTGCTGCCAAGAACAAACATAAGCAGCATCATATTATGGCAAATACTATTTTATGGAAGGCTAAAGTATATAGTTTAAACTTGTACTGTTTTTTCAATTAAAATGAATATACCTAATTTAAGAAATCTAAATTATTAGTAAGACAGATTTTTGGCTTTTTAGTGTACACTGTCAGTTTAGAATTCATCACCAGCAAAGTCCTCCAAAACTAGCATAAAAAGAGTTCCTACCCTACTGATTACAAGACAACCATAATAAATATAAAAGTTAAAGAAAATACATGCACTGATTACTAAGACACAGTTGGACCAAATGATCATGAAAATAATCCAACTATAAAAATGTCAATGTGATTAAAAAACAAAATAAAATTTTGGAGATTCTAAGAATAGTTAAAAGCTCTTCTTCTTTTTTTTATTTGGTACACAGATCATAAGTACAGTTATGCCATTATAGGATTCAATGTGTTGATTATTTGTACAAATTGGAATGCTTACATCCTACTAATCATTCCACTACAGAGATTAAAAAGAATCCTTTGAATCAAAAGGGTAACATAAACATCACATATACCCTATTGTAAGGTGCCTTTACCTATTAACTCAAGAGAGGATTATTCTGTGCTGAGTTTTCCTACAGTCAGACAATCAGACTGTGGTCCTGTAGAGGTATGAGGAAGTGTCTAGATGCAAAAGTTAACGGAGGATACATAAGAATATGGGCGATCCCCTACATTTATGGAGAGACATAACAACACATCTTAGGTTCTTCCCTGTCTAATTTTTATAGGCTTTATATTTAAGATTATGAGTGTCAAAATATACTCTTGGAATATGATTAAGATAATCACAACATTAAATTTATAAATAGTATGAAATATATTTTTAAGAGACATACAGTTTCTTGAAATTACAAACTAGCTCTTTGTGAAAACAAATCCACCTCCATACTTTCTCTATAAAGACACTTGTCAACAGTTGTTTCAGGAGTTAAAACCTTTACAAATTCACAGTGTTGCTTAGGAAAGTAGTTTAGTGTCTGAAAACTAAATGGAGCCACTATACTATGAAGGACACAGGGTAAACACACTCAGGACGTTTGAACTCTTTTAAATTTTAAACATGCTTTATTATTTTTATGGTACCAATGAAGTCATTAGTCCTTCCTACTTCTCTGTTTTTACTTGGTAAGGATGAAATGGGTTCCTGTGCAGCAGAAAGACTTTTTATTAATGAATAAGGAACAATTTTCTGATTATAAAGGTGGTAAAACATTACACTGTGCTGTACAGGAGGGTTGCTGAATCTGTCCACGTAGAACTTAATAAAATAGCACAGAACAGCAGAGCTTTGCCTTGGAGTCTAGCCCAAGGTTTCCTCTTGTGCTATCATTTTGTAACACAGAAATGACAATGTTATGCAGTGAATATTAAAATTTGTTTCCCTCTTTCCCCCAAAGAGGTTATTTGGATAGTTTGTTGCTGTGCAAATGTTTGCAAATGACTCAGAAAATATGAGTTGGGAATAGTTAGTCAATCAGGTCATCTGATTGCCTAATCATTCTTTCGTGAATTGAAAAACAAATTACGATATTGATGAAATCTAGCTGATGGAAGAAAATTATCCAAATCACTATCTAATTCAATCTATTGTGAAAAAGGCAAACTTGTCAGATCTCCCATTCACCAGGGTGTTATTTATACAATTATTTAACAATGTAAATGATCATGATGACAGACATTTGTCTGTTTTCACAGTAAATTGGGCAGGGACTCATTTCTAATAAGGGAGGTCAGACGCTGATACTGCATGACACTGTATCGGCCAGAGTTCCTGCTGGGTCAAAAGCTATGATACACAGAAACAGAACACCGGACACAGGAGTCCACATGTGTAGGGTCAAGTCTGGACCCATGGATTATTAGTTGAGTAACCTTGGTAAGTCAATTTATCTCTAAAAACATGCACTGTGTTCATCTTAAAAATAAGAGAAGCAGTAGTACCTGTTTCCCTCTTCACAGTAATGGTGAAGAAACAAATGAGGACGTGTGTATGAAAGTGACTTCACAACTGCCAGCTGTGATGTTAAACATAAGGCATTATAAATTAGACACCTTGAAACTAGAGTTACGTTTTCAGACCTGAAGGGTAAGGAGAATGTAATAAAGCAATATTTTGAAATTCTTATTCTCTTACCATGGAAATCTAACAGCATGAATGAATACCTAGTTCAAGGACTTTGTAGTACTGTAATAATAGCTGATAGCATATGGTCGTTTAGGAAACACATTAATGGCTCCAATTTCATTTACTATTAATTTATTCTTGTAAGTAAAGGCATTTACTCAGGTACAATATGACATAAAGAGTGCTTTAAAATCAACGTGAATAGATTCTAAGAAATAGAACTATAAGCCCATAAGGATAAACAAAATACAAACGAGGTGAGTACGTCACATAATGCCTGGCACAAAACAGGCGACTGGGAAGTATTTGTTGAGCTAAATCCTAAATTTACAAGTCATGTAAGAATTCAATTAGAACTTTGAAAATGCACATATACATTAATGTCATATTCGATGTATGTCACCTGAAATTTAAACAGCAGGAATATGGTATGTTTATCCAACAGAACTCATCAAGTATGACCTGATAAAATCTCATGCCACAGACCTGCCATCATTTTAGAATTAAATCATGCAGAACTTCCCATTGTACTCGTGGTTACACTAATGGTCTGAAAGTGGGTGTTTAACTACAAGAGTTAATTTATAATGCCTCATATTAATATAGCATTTTAAATTTCTCAAACATTTCCTTACACACTTCCATCTGTGATGGTGAAAGCAACACTGTGTGGCTGACCAGCTCCTGCAGTTCAGGGTCACAGACACAAACCTGCACTCTCCTCGTTAGACGGTGCTGTGTGGGAAGCTTATGGCGACTCACCCTACCCACTTCTACAGCTCATCCTTCATCATGTTTTCTCAGAATTTCAACCAGGTCTGGGAGACAGAAGCTCCATATCACATCACCTGGTAACTGGTTCAGAGACCACGCGCCATCCCTGAAGAAGCCCACGTTGGCTCCACTTCATGGTGCTACTGTAATTAGGCCACCACTTGGAAATCGCAGGTAATATTTTACTCCTTGGTATATGAAGATTCACCAAGTATGGTACTATGATTTTAAAAATGAGTACTGAGATCATATAAAAATTAATTTCATTCTTAAAATAATTTTTAAAAATATAATCAGTGAAAGCTGCTGGGAAAATAGCAATATGGCTTCTTATCTTAACAAGTACTTCCGTGAAACACAGTCAGTGAATGCTACCGTCTCTATGATACTAACATATACGCACACATTCATATGTGTATACATATAAATACACATATATATACACTTATTTTAATGACGTTGCATTTCAAGAAGTTTGAAACACAGTCTGAAGAAAATTTTAAGGACATCAACTAGGAGAGTGTCCCACAGTTTCAACCTACCTTTTGTGGCCACTCGGACACAGTCTATTTTGGTTTCCTGTGTCAAACAAAGAGAGGGAAAAAATTAATCATGTTTTGTCAAAAGCATATGGAAATACCTCTAGCCCTGTTTAGACAGCCCTGAGAAGGAAAGAGCCACTGTGGCAAGTGTGGCTTTAATCACACAGTGATTAGTCTCAGAACAATACTCAGATGCAGTTTCTGGCTCCTGGGATGGTGGTGCTGGGCATTTCTGGACCAGATAATGAGCCAGGAACTAGACACAAATGTCTCTGTCTGGAAGCCCCAGACCCCCTTCTCCAGCCTTGTACCTGTCCCCTGTGCCAGCAGTGCTGGAGAAGAACTCTGCATCTGAGATTTCCTCGTTTCAGTGGTGAGAGTCAAGTCTACTATGAAACCTCAACCTAAGCAGTGAGGGAGAGAAACCACCATGGTATCTGGACAGTGTTTCCTTTTGTCTAAAGAGACCTTAAAATCTCATCAGAGTTCTGGGTCTGAATAGGAAAGGGAAAGAAATTCAGAAATGACTCAATGATAGTTTTTATTTTGTTTTCATTTTATTTTTCTAAAACTGTTTTCACACTTAGAGAAAACGAGATACCTAATCTAGTCACAACTATAGGAAGGAAGTATAAACTCCTTCTAGAACTAGAGAAACAGGACAGAACGTGCTGAGAAGACAGTGCCACGGCGCTGGGTGTATGTGTGGTGGCTCTCCTCCTGTCCTGTAAGACAGTAAGCTAAGCAGAATTACTAGCCAACTTCTGGCAAATAAAAATAAAACCTGTCCTGATGATGATGTAATCTCAAAAGACAAACCAAAACAAAACACCACCACCACCACCAACAAAAACCCAGATGATTATTCTGCAGGTAAAAATAATTTTAAAAAGAGAAAACCCACATATTTTCATAAGTAAAAATATACAAAAGCATGACTTCATTTTTCCCCTACTATTTTACTTAATCTATATTCATATTAATAATCCCAAACAGAAAACTTACCCCATTGGCTCTACTAGCAGCTTGAAAATAAATTCTGTAACTTTTATGGGGGAGAAGCGGAGTGTTCCAGTAGCCACTGTACGTCTTATTATCACCAATAGTAAAAGGCTGCGCAGCTTGGAGGCTGTCTGCCGGAAACTCTGCAGCAAAGTAGTACTGTGAGTTCAGGATTGAAGCATTCTGGAAGTGAATTGGTACTGGGTAGCACTTTAAGATTTCTGTTGTCTTTTTAGTTCTTCGAGGACGTTCTTCCTCAACAACTATTTGATAGACACTAGAAAAAAAAAGATTATCATCAATGATAGTTTAGGATAACTGAGCTGGTTTACTCTATGCCAACTGCATAGACCCATCGGACACTGGAAATAAAGAACACACTGAATAGAGTCATTAGTAAGTGCTTGGTGTTTACCAGACCCTCGAGTATAGTCAGTAATAAGTGCTTGGTGTTTACCAGACCCTCGAGTATAGTCAGTAATAAGTGCTTAGTGTTTACCAGACCCTCAATCAGCACTTGCTTATTGAGAATGAGAAAAGGGGCTCAAATTCTTCTCACAACTCTCACACACAAAATACAATAGTTTCTAGAAAGAAATAAAATTCATCCTAATTAAAAAAATATTTTTATACATGTATGATCATCTCTGCTATTTATGTAAGCAGGACACTAAAATAATATTTTTATCACATTTAAGTAAAGATAATTTTATAGACAATTAACTCAGTTTCCCTGATAAAGTTAAATAAAATTATATTAACAGTATATTTTGAAAACCATGAATGCATGTGACATTTGAACAGTTTACAAAACACTGTGTACTAATTCGTATTAATTCCAGTCTATCTTCTCACATTGTCTTATATTTTCCTTTGTCCTTTTCCATATTCAGTCAGTGGAAAGAAATGGCAAGAAAGAAAAGCAGAGCCAAGGCACCAGAATTACAAAAGCCAAGGCCTAAGGTTACCTGGACAGGGCCCCTCAAAGCACATGTGAGGGGGTGGGAATGGGCTCTTTTGAAGACACTTGCAAGAATGACGTCCCCTCAAAGGGGCTGGCTGCTGGCACTTGCCCACCCTCTTCCTATCTCTGAATTTTTAAGTAAACTTAGAAGAATGAGAGCCGAGGGGCTTTAGAAAATTAAGATATTTACATTTGCTAGAATGATAAATGTTCTATGCAGCTTTGTTGAAAAAAATGTTCTATTGATGACAGAAACTGAATCCAGATTAGACTGAAAGTCTGTCTGGCAGGGAGAGTTATCTTCTGACTGTGTCAGAAAAGTACCCTGAGTCCCTAGAATAACACTGGATTAATCTAAGAGTTGCTTACAACACATACCCATCAATCAATGCCAAAGAACAGCAGAGGGGCACCTCTACCCCAACCCCAGGTAGTGCCCAAAGTGGTCCTTCTTTACATTCTCACCTGTGTGAACTCTGACTCTGCGCTCAGTGTAACCTCCCACCTGCATGAGGTTGACCATGCAGCACACTTTATGACAGTGATGAAACATGTACCACCGTTCAGCTGGTAATTCTGTCTAAATAAACATCAATGTTTTAGAACATTAGAGTGGCTGTTCGGTAGAGAGGTAGGTAGCCAGCATGTTTACAGAGTAATGAGAAAGTCAGTTTGGGGCTGGGCACGGTGGCTCATTGCCTATAGCCTGAGCACTCTGGGAGCCTGAGACAGGTGTATTGCTTAAGCTCAGGAGTTCAAGACCAGGCTTAGCAAGAGCAAGACCCCTATCTCTACTAAAGAAATAGGAAAAACAAAACAAACAAAAAACTAGCCAGGTGTCATGGTTGGCACCTGTAGTCCCAGCTACTGGGGAGGCTGAGGCAAGAGGATTGCTTGAGCCAAAGACTTAGAGGTTTCTGTGAGTTATGACAATGTTGCTATCCAGGGCAACAGAGTGAGACTCTGTCTAAAAAGAAAAAAGAAAGAAAAAGAGAAAGTGAATTTTGACTAATGATCTCAACTTAAACAGAAAAAAGCAAAACTCTTCCTTCCTAATATCAGACTTTCTATTGGGTCTGGTCATGAAACTGCTCACCCAAACCCAGTAGAAGTAACAGATCCAACGTGAAAGAGTGTTTCGGAAGAATTCTAGAGTGAGGACACAAACACACAGAGAGGTAAAGTGGACTCTGACATCTTTCCCCTTCGTCTTAGCTTCTTACATCTATCATCAGAAAGGTGTGGTGATTTAAAAACATATCCGCCAGTCTCTGACACGTCAGGAGGTGGGATGGCCATCTCTGCCACCAACAGAATGTAGCAGAAGGGACACCAGGCACCTGCATCTCCCACCTCCTCCTTTGAAGTTCAGTCTTAGAGAAGCCAGCCACCAAGTAAGGGGTCATTGGACCAGCTCACTGGAGAAGCCACATGTAGGCACTGTCCTCCACAGTCCCCAAGAGCTCCCAGTCCACAGGTAGCACCATCACAGCAGCCACACGGGCGGGCTGTCTCCAATGGCCAAGCCACTCACGCTCCAGAAGACTGCTGCCAGAGAGACTCCAAACAGGATCTATCCAGCCCACCTTTTGTTGGCCCACAGAATCTGGGCAAGATGCAGAGGTTGTTTTAAACCACTAAGTTCTGGAGTAGTTTAATACATGGCAAGTGCTAGCCAGCATGGTCATATAACAGCAAGAGTAAAGGTCGGGTGAAAGTAGATGGCTAACCACTCCTTGCTGTGTAGCACAGCCCAGATGGGACATCTGTGGAAGGAGTCTAACCCAGAATGCTGTTAACACACTGCCTGCTCCCCAGAAAGAACACCCCCTTTACCAGGCCCTGGGGTTTCATTCCAGAAATTAAAACTTTGAAAATAAAATGATCTCTTCCTACTTTAATGAAAAAAAATTTTTATCATGTTCTTTGCATGAGTTACATCTATTTTTACACTGCACACCATGTGAGTTGTATGCGACTCATAACCTACTTATTGAGAATTGAGTCTTTTGTCATTCTGCAAGATTTAATGGCATCTGGAACAGACCTTGGATGGTCCTGGATGACAACCTCAAAATTATACCCCTAAGTATGTTCAGCAATGTCATGTCTATAGTATTGACTTTGTTCAAAGAGCCACCAGGTAAAACAGATTCAAGAAGAAGAAATCTGTAGTTAGAAGTTCCAGTAATTGGAAAACACAGCCTGGCACGTATGGCATACTTGGGCAGGCTGGCTGGAGAGGGTAACAGGAGGCGGGGGAAGACACACAAACTGATATAACAATGAGCACAAGTTTCACAATTTCACAGGGTCCCGGGCTCAAAACCACCGTGAGTTAAATATAACTCATAGGATAGCTAATGTATCAAAAACAAATAGCCTGGAGAAAGTGTGACTATTTTGTAGAGATGGTGACAATGCATCTGTCTGGACTCTAATCCTATTAAATTAATCTATTTGTGTTGTATTTCTTCCTATGAAAAAATTTTATGAATCTCAGTAATGTATATTTTATACATCTAGAATTTTTATTCAACATACAAGAACAGCTGTCATAAAAAGGATAAACTATCAATATAATTACTTGCTTTGCAAAGTAATTTAAGAAAACAACTTTTAACATCAGCTTCCTTCAAACAGTTTTTCCAGTTCATTTGCTATATGACATGATTTCCAAAATTTCACTTTAAAAACAACTTGTGGGAAAGCCAGATACTAGACAAAGCAGAAAAACAGATGCACACATACAAAGAAAAAATAGTTGCGTAAAATATTCCTCACAGGAGGGCTAGACCAGGTGCCTAGCCTAAGGTGGGCTCCGTCTTTGATCCAATCAGGAGAGCTGTAGGTGGCAATGTTCCTTCAGCCATCTGTATCTGAGTCCCTGATGACTTAGAGGAAACGTGCTCGCCTGTGCTCCTCAGTTACCCTAGTCAGAGCACCACGATCTTCCCACCTCTCTCAGCCCTGATTCTAACTCAATTAGATAATAAAAGCAGCACAGCTGCTCTGGACTTTCTAAGTCCTGAGACTCTGGATCCTTCTGCTGCAAACACCTTTGTCTCTGCTCTGTCACCCTGGCCTAGACTCGGGTGGCTACTCAAATGTGGCTCTTTTCCATTTAATGAACTTTTGGTCACTTTCAGCATATGTGCCACACTACAAAGCCTGAGACCCTTGATTGACCGGAGCTCAGGGGCTGACAGTCTGTCCATTCATTTTCATGTACTTATATTCTGGTCCAAACTCACAAAAAATTTGCTGTCAGTGAAGATGTTTGTGTCCTTTTATCATTATTTTCAAAAGTCCTATAAGCTCACGGAGGAGGAGGGTATAATTTAGTCATTTTTGTGACTCAGGACACTTAGAATGAAGTAGCCTGTTAAGTATGTGTTTCTAAAAGCATACTATAACCCAGAAGTTATTTCCATTTCGTTTGGGACTATAGTACACGCTATATATGTGAGTAGGAAGGAAATACACTGACACTCACAATTATACTTGGCTTTACTAAAATTTAACATAGTATTAATTCTATTTTTTATTCATTTCCCAAATACTCAAGGGCTAAGAGAAGACAAAATTACCAAGAAAGAGGTTTTGTGATAAAAGAATGCTGGTTAGATTTTACGTTTATCCTGAATAATTCACAGTTAAATGATTAACCCTGAGGGAACTAGAAGACACATCTCCGTTTCCTCTACCCGCCCCCTCCATCTGTTACTTCCCATTTCTTTCCTCCAACTTTGCTAGTGTGTGTGATGTGTGAGCATGTTCACTGGTTCATTAATTCAATATATACTTTTGTGAGTTCCTACCAGGCCCTGCCCTACTTTACCTTAAACAATATAATGTTTGGCATTCCCTAACGAAACAAATTTTTGTATTGTAATGTAAATACCATCTAAGTGAATACAGATTAACAAATAATTTTTTTCAAGCAGCAATTTTAGAAGGAATAGGTGAAAAATTGAGAATTAAATGATCATTTGATGGGCCCCCATTGGTTATATTATACACTCTGCTCCAGACGTATTGCTTTTTAAATGGCTACCATCTACTCATCTCCAGATATATTAAAGGAAGAACTGAGTTGACTAGAGCAATTTCAAACCCAAAATGTCTTTTCATCCTTGCTCCACAAGACAAATTAGATTTGGAAGCATCCAGACCTCAAATCTATTTGCTCTTTAATAATTTAAGCACTCAAAGGTCAAGCAGCTCTTTTCTATTCCCCTTTATCAAAGTCCAAGTGCTAATGAAAAATAGCTAAATCCAATCTGCTGCCCAATTGCCATAATTTGCTGTCT